CCCTTGACCTTGCGTGTTGTGTGTGTATATATACATACATACATACATACATACATACATACATACATACATACATATATATATATATATATATATATATATATATATATACATGCATACATACATACATCTGCTAAGGTTGCATCTCATTATTGTGCTTACAACTTTCTTAATCAGGATTTTATTCTTTCAAAATCTCTATAAATCTCAAATCCGTCCTTGTAAGGAATACTATTGCCATATCTGGGGCAGATCTTCCAATGATGCTCTTTCTCTTTTAGACAATGTACAAAATTGCATTGTAAACACAGTTGGACCTGCTCTTGCATCCAATCTTCAACCATTATCAGATCGCCGTAATGTTGCTTCTTTTTCTCTTTTCTATAAATATTAAATGGGAACTGCTCTAAAGAGCTAGTGCCTCTTGTGCCATCTACTAAAATCCATTCTCTTGTTACTCGTCACTCAATAAAGTCTCTTTACTTAGTATTCTAATTTAACATGATGTATATAAACAGATATATATTGCACTAACTAAAAGCCCCAACAGATAGCTATTTTAGTATGAAATCATAAACAGCATTTTGTGCAAGGTTAAGTATTCAAAAATATCAGTATTAATGTGTGTGTGTGTGTATGTGTGTGTGTGTGTGTGTTTTTGTGCGTGTGTGTGTGTGTGTGCATATATATATATATATATATATATATATATATATATATATATATATATTATATATATATATATATATATATATATATATATATATATATACATATATATATGTAGCAGCATTTATCAAAACCCTCAATGTAGCAGCACTTCTCTCATGTTCTATTTATTTGTCAGTCAATATAGCAGCACTCCTGGCATGTTCTACCTATTTCTCAGTCGACATAGCAGCACTCTTTGCATTTTCTACTTGTCAGTTGATGTAGCAGCACTCCTCGCATATTCAACCTATTTGTCAGCCAATGTATGTAAACAGTAAAAAAAAAGAAAAACATTCAGAGTCTTTTTATTTTTATTAACAGAATTAAAAACATTCCAGTCTATTATGTTGCGTTTGTGTGGTTTTTAAAAAACAATCAAATTTAATGTTTCCTCAATTAAATATAATGGTTTTTACAAAAAGTGTATTTGATTTTGTCATTTTTAAAGGCAAACAGTCATTAAGAGCCATTTTTTACCACAAACAGTAACTTTGAAGGTTTTATATATATATATATATATATATATATATATATATATATATATATATATATATATATATATATATATATATATATATATATATATATATATATATATATCTATCTATCTATCTATCTATCTATCTATCTATCTACCTATCTATCTATCTATCTATATATATATATATATATATATATATATATATATATATATATATATATATATATATATATATATATATATATATATATATATATATATATATATATATATATATATACACAATAAAATGTGGTATTTGTGTAGTGTCAGAGGTTTCACTTCATAAGCAAAAAATTCTGAGTTCAATTACTATGTCCCTGTTAGTATCAAGCTCAACTTGTTTCTCTGGGCAGCAGCCTTGTTTGTCAATGTTTGTGCTTAGGATTTATAGAATTGAGAGAAGGTTATTAAAAAGTCTTCAATTGTAGTGGCCTTCTTAGCCTTAGGGAGGCAACCATTGAAAAAAATATATAAAAAAATGAAAGTACATTTTAATTAAATAATAAAAATAAAATACTTTTCCGTTAAGAAGCATATCTGCAGTAAATTCGCCTTCATAGCATGTTTCATCTTCACTCAACAAAATCCCTCTTCCCTAAATAATTGTATTAAAAAATTATATACTTAAGCAAACTAAACTCCGTCAAAAATAATAGTAACTAGGCCTGAATTTAAAAAAACTAAAATTTCAAATATTAAAAGTTTTGAAACTAAACATTAAAAGATTGAGAGCAGATGACTAAACATTTGCTGTCAAACTCTTCTGAGCTGTATTGAGTTGATGTATTAGATATAATATAATAGATAAACAGTCAATACAAGAGAATAGATGAAAAAAGTAAATTCAAAACAAGAAAAAAAAAATAAAAAATGTGTTCAAAACAAGAAAAAAGAGAAATAGTGCAGCCAATACAAAAAAATAGATAAAAAGTGCAGTCAATATAAGAAAAAATAATAAACATGTGATGTTAAGAATTACAAACTTTTATTGTACACATTTCATTTATTTAGTACATAAGTAGAAAATAATTTTTTTAATCATTTTTATAATTTCAAATATTTCCTTAAATAAATCAAATTTATTATTAGCATTATCATTATATGAAATCAGCTTTTTCAACAAAATTATTTAGTTAATTTTGAATAACAACCTAGTTACTATTATTTTTTATTTAGAAACATTTTGATGCAACCATTTATTGGTTTCGAAAAAGCTTGTAAAATGGTGCATTATTTGGAAACATTTGTAAAATGGTGTATTATTTGGAAAAGCTGGTAAAATGGTGTATTATTTGGAAAAGTTTGTGAAATGGTTAATCATTTGAAAAGCTTGTGAAATGGTGAATCATTTGGAAAAGCTTGCTTAGATCATAAAATGATGATTTAAGATGTTTTAAGATCAGAGATCTCATAAACAAAAGATAACTTTTTAAGGTCAGAGGTCTCTGAAAATAAAGAAGGATATTTAAGGTCATAGATCTTTAACCTTACAATAAAACAACCCAATCATACTCCAGACAACGCACCAACATCAAAATGAATAGAGGGCTAAATATTTTTGAATCCTTTGATGGATCAGCTCATTAGAGGTTTAAAAATCTGCTATCGTATTACATGTAAAAGATTTTTAAAATTCAATATTACTAAAACTGTGTGAAGGCACAATAGTCATTCAATGAATTTCATGATTTCTTCCTACCAATTAAAAAGTTATTGGAAAAAGATTACAAATGTTGGTAAAGAGAAACCAGATATAAAAATAGGAATTTATGCTTGCAATTTTGATAAATAATCTTGCTTATCAGCAAGAAAAAACAAAGAAACTAAAAAAACAGCTTCAATGGGAACAGTCTTAACCCTGTTATAAAATCCAAACCTATAAAGATAATAGCGGATATGCAAATGAAGGGTGATGCAGTAGATAAACCTAAAGAACAAAAACAAGATGTGAAATGTTTACGATGAGCTCTTTTGTCTGTATTTCCACTTAGTTCAAGTAGGACTGCACTAACAGCACTTAAAAAATAAAATAAATGTATAACACATTCCAAAGAGGAAAGAAAAAGGAAGTTTTGTAAATAAATATAAATCAAAAATGAAAATATGTGGTTTGTGTGTGTGTGCATTGATATATTGTTTCCATTACTTTTTTTGGAAATTATTTTTATAAAAAGATTGTAAAGCAATAAAAAATATAACTATATATATATATATATATATATATATATATATATATATATATATATATATATATATATATATATATATATATATATATATATATATATATATATATATATATATATATATATATATATATATATATATATATATATATATAAAATAACTAGAAAAAAAATATATTATATATATATTTTTTTTCTAGTTATTATATATATATATATATATAAAATAACTAGAAAAAAAAAAGGGTCAACTGAGAAAAAATTTAACTTGAAAACTAAATAAACGTAAAACGTATAAAATACCACAAGTTTATTTTGAACAAACTTCCCTTCATAGTAAACACCATCAACTGTGACAACAACACCATATCCTTGTCTTTGATCGTTCACCCACATACCCATATACTTCTCACCACTAAACATATTAATACATAAAATTATTTATTCATATTTTATAAATATATAAATATATGCTAAATAATGTTGAAATTTGTGAAAGATTTTTCAAGTTTGAAAGCAAAACCTACTAAAAACTATCACATGGGTAATTTTACATCACTGAAATTTTAGATATTTATGAACTTCTTTGGTCATCGAATGTTACAAAGAAACATGTTGAACAGTGCACAAGATATTAGAGTTTTAATAATGACATGGTTTTTACAAGAAGTTTTCACTTTAAAAACTTTTTTTTTAATAAAATGAGAAATAATAATGACAAAAATATGAAAGTAAACTGTTTTTTGATGCAAAAGGCAATTTTTTGATGCAAAAAGCAAAATTTTAAAAGATGAATTGAAAATGTTGAAATACGAATTAAAATTTCCTTTAACTAATTTAACTTGGAGTTATAAAAGTAAGTTATAAGTCTCAAAACCTCCTTTTTTTTGTTTTATTTTGAATAATGTTAGTAGTAATATCATATATATATATATATATATATATATATATATATATATATATATATATATATATATATATATATATATATATATATATATATATATATATATATATATATATATATATATAATATATATATATATATATATACATACAAAACAACCTTAAATATCAATATCAATATCAATATCAATATATATATATATATATATATATATATAATATATATATATATATATATATATATATATATATATATATATATATATTTATATATATATATATACATATATATATATATATATATATATATATATATATATATATATATAATTAATAATAAAAGCTTTTTAATATTAAAATTATAATCATTAAACTAAGTAAGGAATCTAAAAAGGTAAGAATTATTTCTACACTAAAAATTGAAATTACTAAAAGTAGGAAATAAGAACTCTTATTTATTTGAAGAAATGCTTTCTTCTTACTGTTTAAATCAAGTTTTAATAAGATGCCTTCTTTTGGCCTAATGTCATCAGATGCATGCGAAGGCTGAAGGGATATTATCAAAAATGATTATATCCTTACTCTGTAACATTGAATTATCAAACTACAACATTATGTTAAAGACATTTGACATAACATTTGAAAATGTATATTTTTATGGCAGAAAGCTTGTTGTAACAAAATCACTAGTAAGCAGCTGTAAAATTTAAATATTTTTTTAATTATGCATAATTTTTTAATTTGTTTTCTAGAACATAATAAAATAAAGTTTTATACAAATGTACAGACAAACTGTTCAATTATTACATTTAAATTTTCAGTCATTCACTGTAAAAAATTTTTACCATACTTTTTCTGTTGTTTTGTTACGGAAAAAATCCGTTTTTAATAAATCTTTTTTTAATAAATCATCTTTTACCTATACTTTTAAGACTCGAAATAATCACATTATTTTATGGGATTTTAACTGTATTTATGATATGGAGAAGTTCCGTAACTTTAAATTATAAACTTTAACCGTATATTTTAGTATACTTTAGTATAGCCTCTAATTTACAGAGTGCTATTGTTCTTTTTAACGAAGAGAAATTATACACGTTTTTAATTTCAAGTTAGAGATCTTAATATATTTATATTTGTTTTACTGGAACTAAAGTGCTGTATGTTTTTAAAGAAGCACATTTACAAAAATTTGCTTATAAGCTTATATGCTGATTAAGGATGCTGTTATAAATAGATATAGATATTTATTAAAGATAGGTACTTCTGAAAATTAGTTTCCTATATTATATAGGGTTTATATGGTATAAAAATCTTTTCTTATGTATTGAATTTTTTAAAGTTCATACTATTTAGTATTACATTTTTATAGCATATATAAAAAAAAACTAAACAATATGGACTATAGAAAATTCAATTCATAAAAAATATAACATAATTTATTAATAAGTCAAGTTTTATTTAGACATTATATTGAATTTGTGATTGACAGTGTATATGTTTGAGATTATTTAGTTGTTTTGTAATATATATATATATATATATATATATATATATATATATATATATATATACATATACATATACATATATGTATATATAAATATATATATATACATATACATATATGTATATATAAATATATATATTTATATTATATATATATATATGTGTATATATATGTGTGTATATATATATATATATATATATATATATATATATATATATATATATATATATATATATATATATATATATATATATATATACATATGTGTGTGTATACAGTATCGGAAAAAATAAGTGCAACCAAATAATGCTAATTTAGTTTCTTTATATAAAAGTGTTGCATTTTTTCAATTTAGAGAAATATTTATGTAACTGTTTAGAGACAATGTTCTTCAAGTTTTATTCATCACAAAGTCCATTATTTGTACACGAAAATTAATAAATTAACCAAAAGTATTAAAAAAAGTTGATTTCCTTCTGGACAAAACAAATGCAACTCCACAAAATGTTGACCAAGCTGTATTTTGCTATCAATATTTTGTGGCGAATTCTTTGTTGGCGATCACAGCCTTGCATCTTTGAGGCATAGATTCAATCAGGTGATCAATGAAACTTTGTGGAATCGCTGCCCAAGCCTTTTGGATTTGTTCAATCAGTTGATCCTTATTACGAGCTTCATGATTAATTCTGCGGTTGACGATCTCCCACAGGTTCTCGATAGGGTTAAGATCCGGAGATTGAGGCAGCTAATCCATCACCGATAGGTGGTTGTCTTGAAACCACTGCTTGACTACTTTTGCAGTGTGTTTCAGATCATTGCCTTGCTGAAAAACCCATTTTATTGGCATATTCCATTTAGCATGAGGTAACATAACATCTTTCAGGATATTTTTATACATGAAAGGGTCCATTATTCCATTGATTTGATGTATTGGACGTAGACCCGTTAACAGAAAAACACCCCCAGACCTGTTTACATTGCCTCCACCATGTTTCAGGGTCTTATGGCAGTAACGTAAATTGAGGCATTTTTCGGCCGGTCAACGTACACAGCAAATGCCATCGCTCCCAATGATGTTGAACTTCGATTCATCACTGAACAGGACAGTTCGTCATTTCTTCTGGTTCTTTAGTGAAATCAGAGGTTTCTTTGCAGGCCGTTATGAAAACAATCCGGCTTCAACAGCACGCCGCCTGATTGTTTGGTCCGATACAGGCAGGTCTAATTGCTTTTGTCTCGACTGGTGATATCTAGGGATCCTTCTTGACGGATCTGATGATCATAGAATCCTCTCTAGAAGTGGTGGAACGCGGTCTTGCACCTTTGTTATCTGCTACCAACTTCCCCATAGAACGATATTTGGAACATAGTCTTGATACGGTCCATTTTTTCACGCGATATTTATCACAAATACTTTTTTGTGAAATTCCACTTACGTAATTACCAATAATTTTCTTTCTTAGTTCCAATTCAAGATTGTTGGGAACCATTTTTGCACTTGAAGTCATAAAAATAATAAAAATAAATAATCAAGCTTCTCAAGGCTTACTGTGTTACATTTACCTTGTGATGATACAATAATGCTCTGTGGAACACAACGTCTTGGTTGGATGTGGACTGTATTGATGTAATGAAACACTTGTTGTATTTCACTTCTTGTATTGATGTTCTTCGATAAAACACTTTCATAAAACTCACTTCGATAAACTGTCTTGATAATACTGACTGATTGACTCCCATATCAGGCCTTGTGATGAATAAAAACTGTGCGATGCATAAGCACGACGTGATTTTTGACATCATTAAATTCTTTTTATTTGCTTTTTATATTTATCGACATTAACTGCACCAATTTACTTAATTACCGCAAAACTACTTTAAATCATTAGTGTAGAAATGTTGTTATTTAAAAATGTTTTGTAATATTTCATTTTTTAAAATATAAAAACATTTGTTTATGTTCTCGACGTTTGACACATTTTGTCTATACTAAACGAATTAAAAACATTATAACTAAACATTTAAAAAAGATAAAATATGCTAATATTTGATTTTTTTTTTTCTCAAATATGTAATTTAAAGTTTTTCAAATATTTATTTTTTCTTTTTAAAAAGTCAGCGAGTAATAAACTGGAAATTTTAATTTTGTACGATTAAAAACTGTGCAATAGCTAATATTTTTACTAGCGATTTTATATAATATTTTTTTATTTATTTATTTTTATTTTCATAAAGCGGTTGATAAGCGCAATCACTCGTATTACTAAAAAACTTTAACGAACATTTTGAATAGACTTTTAATGTTTACAAGGAATTTTATTTTTGGTAAAATAAAATGTTAGAATAAAAATCTTATAGGTATAAAAGACATATTTCAGCGAAAAAATTATTCTTAAAAATTATTCTTAAAAATTATTCGAAAAACTACTAACGTTCTATTTTTCAGCAGCTGTTCTTGAGCGCGCTTCGTTGAGTTTCGGTAACTTTTAACAAAAAAGCTTTTTAAGTATTTAAGCCATTTAAGTAATTTTTTTCGAGTTACTTTTTACAAAAATTTTAATAGCTGTACTTTTTTATTGAACCAAGTAGAATACATTTTAATATTATTCCTTTTATTCTTTTTTATTTGCGCTTACTAGTTTTTAAAATGTTTACTCGAAATTACTCTTAAATACTTTAATTACGTCTAACAGTTAATAAATATTTTTAAATCTATGGAATAATTTTAAAACCTAACAAACCCCCATAAAATAATTATTTAAGTTAAAAATCTAAAACTAAAAGAAAGTATTTTTGTTCAATTTTATCGACAACTTTGCTATTGCTGAATAATTTTATTAAAATGTTAGCTTAAAAAGATTTAAACTTTTATTTTAATCTGAATTTTTTTTACTTGTAAATAATAAGCATATTTAATTTTTTTATAATTCAAACTTTTATATCAACTGCGTGTGGTTTTTAAAATACTTTATTAAATGTTAAAATAATCGAAAATTACTTTATTAAAATTCCGCTCAAAAATATCTTTAAAATATACTCAAACAAAAATTTTTTTGCTTAACGCAAATAGCCCTAGCTACACGCAAAACCGCTCTTGGACGACATAAAATTCGCATCGCCCAACGCTTTATCGCAAGGCCTGCCATATACTGACTGAATTACATGTCGGTTTACATGTCTCTTATATAGTAAAATGAACGTGTGTGAACCTGTTCTGGAAGATTCTAGATGCTTCTTTTTGATGCTTCTGGAAGCTTCTGGATGCGTCTGGATGATTCTGAATGTTTCTGGATACTTCTTGATGCTTCTGGATGCTTCCAGATGCTTCTTCTGGAAACTTCTAGAAGCTTCTGCATGCTTCTGGAAACTTCCTTTAATTAAAAAACTTTTGTGACGTTGACATGGACCAGGCTTAAGAAAATGAAACAAACCAAAAAAGTTGTACTTGTTTTGTCCGCTGCAAAATGACACTTGTCAACGAAATTCTGCCTGTGTTCTGTCACCTGTCAGCTGATTGCTCATGTCATGGCATGCTATGACTCCAGACTCCTGAACTGTTTGCTGTGGTAGTAGAGTTCATTTCGTTTTTAAGACATGTAAAATTAGGAACTTTCTAGCATTGTTTGATGTTAGTTGCAAATGTTTTGTCCAATACTGTATATATATATATATATATATATATATATATATATATATATATATATATATATATATATATATATATATATATATATATATATATATATATATATATATATATATATATATAAGACATCACAAATGAAGGAAATAATTTTTTAACGGCGAAAAGCTAAAAAATAGAACAAAGGAAAAATAGAAAAATTGTTTTGAATAGAAGATTTACAAAAAACTAATAAAGTGAAAACAATGAAAATTTTTAAAGAATATAAATTAAATAAAAATATTAAATAAACAGAAAAACTAAAAGTTAAAAAAAAAAATGTTTTTGAGATTTATGAAAGTAAAAAACTTTTTTAAGTTTTTAAAAGAAAGCAAAAAAAAAAAAACTACAAAATTTAAGTTTTAATAATTTAAATTGAATTGTTTATATTGTCATGTATTTTTGTGTATTGTTGATATTGTTAACAATATTAATAAAAAACACAACATGTTGTGAAAAATAGAAATACACAACATATTGACAACAACAAAAATAGAAATACACAACAAGTTGTGGATTTTTATTTTTGTTTATACTGTCATGTAATTTTGTGCATCATTTATAGTGATGTGTTCATATGTTTATTGTTGGGCTTTTCTTTTTTGTGGCGTTGTTGCTAATTATTTTTATTATTGTTGCGTTTTACATTTGCTGCTATTATTCAAGTGATCACCTTCTGATCATTAAACGTTGTGTTATCTCATTCATTCATTATCTCTCAACTCAGTTCATTCACTTTTTCCTTTTTTGTTATTAGTCTGGCTTTTTTTTAATAGTTATTATTATCCTTTTTGTTATAATTATTTTTTTGTCACTATCTATATTATTACTTTTTGTTGCTTGTTTGTTTTTTGCTTTATTTGTTTATTTTATTAAGGTGTCACTCCCATGACTAGTTCTTAACTATACGAGCCGAACCTAATTTTGTAAATTATAAATAAATCTGTTTTTTTTTCAATATTTTGCTTAAATGGATTAAAAAAAATGTACGTAGCCTTTGTGTGGCAGTTTTTCGGAGGAGGATAAACCTCATGGAAGATAAACCACATGAAGGATAAACCCATGGAATAAAGGTATATATTAAATAAAATAGTATGTTAGATGTATTTTTATATTTACTTTTTTGTAGTGCAATCTAAAATAGCTCTCTTAATTATTATTCTAGTTATCAAATCTATATTTAAATTTATTTAAATTATTTAATGTGGTTTTTCACAAAGTTATCTGTAGAATAGAAATTTTATGTTAATAATTGCTAAATTATTATTTAATTATTTATTTGTATTTATATACATTGATTAACTTTGATTGTAACTTTTAAAATGAAATATTACTATTGAAAGGTTCAATAGTAATATTTCTTATAGGTTCATGCTTTGGTTTTGGTTTCAACCCAACCTTGAATTTTAAATCTGAATCTTCTATTGCTATGCTAGACGATTGGATAGATGTTTTCAAAGTTCCCTGGAAAAGCTGCCGGCTGAAATCATGGATTTACTTCACAAAAATGCTCCTCTTTTGCCACAAAAAACACAAAAGTACAATGATAAGGGTCTTTTGTGATGATATACATTCATACTTATTTATAAAAAATTAATAAAAATCCATAGCTTTTTCATATTACCTGCAATGTATTCTTTAACTTTATCTACTTCTAACCTACACTTTCTTCTATATCACTACATCCTGATTAACTGCATGCTCTACATGCTCACTCTACATACAATTTTTCAACATTACTTTCTTTTCTTTTTTTTTACTGTAAATAATTTTTGAAAATTTGAATGATTTATTGATCTGATCTAACTATTATTTAGATGTATCGCAAAAATGAATCCTGAAAAATGAAATTAAATTAAAAAGAAAAACTGGTAAAAAAGCAGTCGACCCTCACCCAAAGATTTTGAGTTTTGTAAACGAACTAGCGCTGTTTGAGTGAACAGAGCATCAATAGATCAAAAGACATTTTGTTTATGCTTATTATAACTATTATAACGTAATATATATATAACAACTTTTATATATAATTTGTCATAATAAAATATTATTTATCATAAATATTATATAGTTTATAAAATACAATATATATATAAATAACTACTATATTATAATTTGTTTATATTTATTATAACTATTATTACTTGATATGTATCATATAATTTTTAAAAATTTAAAATACGAGTAGTTTCTTAATAGTCAAATTACATTTTTTTAACAACATTTTTGACTTTAGCGTAAACTCTGATGAATGAGTTAAGTAAATGTTTATTAGCTGAATTAACGGAGTTTTTTCGTTAAATTGAATGTAAAAAATGAAATACGTAAATTTTACTGAGAAAATGGCGCCTGATATTCTCCGTTATTTTGTACAGAAAAAAGGAAAATACGGAAAGCGTGAATTTTACGCAGAAAGTTCTGTATCTTTTTTAACAGACTTTTTATGTTGATTTTTACGGAAAATAGAAACTACGGAAACCGTTAATTTTTACAAAGAAAGTACTGGCACTTTGCTGCCAAACATTCTCCGTAGAATCTACGGCGATTTTTTTGTAGCTACACCTAGGTTGTCCAAAAGTAACAAAGTATTTCACTTTGTTACTTTTGGACAACCTAGGTGTAGCTACAAAAGATTCACAAACCATGATTAGAAAGCTAAAATTTGCATGCTAAAGGTGATAAAGTGAAACAATTAAAAAGAAGACTGAAAACTTTAGTCTTAATAACAGAGAAAATTCTGTGCCTTGACATTTGTTTAACTTTTTCCATTTGCATCCACAAGTTGGTCAATATTAAAAGAATAAAATAACTTTGTAATTATTGAGTTCAATAAACTGGGTAATTAAATTTGAAATTATCTTAATGAATAACTTTTGTAGTTTATTAGCCTAAGAACTGGAATTTGAAGGCCAAAACAAGGGCAAAGCCTGACCCAAATAACATGTTTTAATCTGTTTTAATTTGTTTTTAAGCACAAATGGCAAAAATAGTTTATGCAGTCAATGAATCATAAATATGTTTTCAACAAAACATAAATATATTGTCAATAAATCATAGCTATGTTGTCAATAAATCATAAGTATTTTTTCAATAAATTATTAATACGTTGTCAATAAATGATAGATATGTTGTCAATAAATGATAGATATGTTGTCAATAAATCATAGATATGTTGTCAACAAATCGTAAACTTGCTGTCAATAAATCATATATATGCCGTCAATAAATCATAACCTTGTTGTCAATAAATCATAAATATGTTGCAAATAACTTATAAATATGTTGTCAATACATCATAAGTATGTTTAAAATAAGAATTTTTTTCTTATTAAAAAAATTCCAATATATAAAAAACAAGTTACCGTATCACATAGTCTAAGACACCATAACCTTGTTTGACATCATTCACCCAATCACCAATATATACTGTTTCTAAAGTATTTTTAGGTACTAATGTTTTCAACATTCCATGACCATGACGTAATCCATCTCTAAAATGCCCAATATACTCCTCAAATTGACCATACCTACAAAATTATGAATTTATTTTAATATTATTTTTTTTAGAATTAATATTTATATACAAATACATTTTACAGTTATTTATAAAGTTGTTTAAACTTAGAACTGATTTTATTTTCAAGTTTTTGCCGAGCAAAACTTTCTCCACCATTACAAACATAATTGCTACACTTGAAAAACATTATTGCTACGATTTCTTAACTTGCGGGTAACAAAAAAAAAACTTTCTATCAAGTACTACAAAACAGTTTTTATAGTACATGATAATTACTACATGAAAGTACTAATTTTTAACTTATTTTTACAACATTTCAGTCTGATTAGTTCAGACCGCTGTAAGATGTAAAATAAAATTCAACAAAAATATCACAAAAAAAAGTATATAAAAAAACCATTAAGAAGACATTATAAAGATGAACTGATGCAAGGTGAAAACTATTTTGAGATTTCAATAATTTTTTTTGAAAAGACGTCTCCAGCTATTTGACACATTTTTAAGACAGTTATCCTTGTTCAAAAGTGATGGGAAGTGCCTTACCTCCGTATTTTTTTGAGCATTATTGATCTCAAGGGATTCTCCTATTTTTCTTTTATGGTAGTTAAAATTAAATGCAATTGTTTTGGGGTGTATCTAATTAAATATACATTTTAATTTTATTTTATCTTAAAAGTGTACTGGGGAACATATTTTTGAGGCTCTTGGTAAAAACCTTTAAAGACTCCAGAAGTTATTGCAGGATTAATGTTTGAATTCAGTTTTATTTGTATATTGGTAATTGCAGATTTTCGATGGATTTTGAAATCATAGTGGAAATTATTTGTATTTTTACTGTTATATCTAAAAAGTTTACTTCCTTTTGATTTCTATTTCCAATGTGTATTGAATTGCATGAACTTGTTGATTTAACAATTTCAAAAATTTGTTATGCTTTTCTAATGAATCAAATCTCAAATGGTTGTCATCAATGACCATAAGTGATAAGTGCCCAATAGGGCCAGAATTTAGTATAATTGTAATTGCGTTTTTATATGAAAAGTAGCATTAGTTTAAGCAGAGTTCAATTAATTGGTGAATATCAGTAATAGTTCTTTTTAAATTTCTTTTCCCAAGATCTTCTTTATCATTGTTGAGTCACAGAAATCTTTGATTTGACAATTTGATGATGAAACATTTAGTAAACATTTTTATTACTTTTTTTTTCAAAATCTAGCAATTGAATTTTTTTCAAATTTATATAGTTTCAATAAAACGATCTTTTTTCTCATACACAACAATAACCACAGAAATTCCTCTGTCAATTGGAATCAAGGGGTACAAAGCTATCACATCAAACAAGACTTGAATTTCATTAGGGAAACAACCCAGGATTTCGCTAGGTTGACTATTAGAAGAACTTAGTAACTCTGATTTATTTTTATTTAGAGTTGGTTTTACTACTTTAACAAGATATTTTGAAGATTCATAAGGGGGAGTACCAATAGTGAAAACCACTGGTCTCATTGGATAATTTTTATCTAATTTATGAACTTTTATGATGCCATACAGTTGCAGAGGAATGCAATCAGAAGGATACAATCGAAAATAAGTTTTTTTTATCAAATGTATTTTCTTCCCTCAATATAAATAAAAACTTCTGGATTTTTGTTGTGATGGTTAGTGTAGGATCATATTGATAGTTACCAAGTTATTTTCATCATCTAATTTCTTAAAAGCATCTGATTCATTAATTTTTAGTATTTTATGATAAAATGTTGATATCATTTTTATGATTAAAAAAATTATCATAAAATGGGAACTGTATAAACGCTGGCAATAGATGTCATGGGTAACAACCACTGTAAAAAAAAATGCAACTAAATTTTAGTATGTGATACATAATGTTTATAAATAATTGTTTTAGTTAATGAGTTAACATTCTTTACTACTTCCTTTTTTATCAAACCTAAACAGTTGTTAAATTGCTCTTTATAAATAATAGTTCTTTACATCAAAGTAGAAAAATATTAATTCTTCACATTATTTAAAAATAATTTAGTTATTTACATTAATGTTTTAGTTACTAAATGTAACCAATTGAACAGTAATATAAAACTTAAATAATATCAAATTTTAAATAAAAGTATTCAATTATAGTAAAACAAACAAATATTTATTAATTAATAAAACAATAAAAATACTTCATTTTTCCATATCCAAACATCATTCCCTCAAACCACTCCCCTTCATACGTTTTTTCCATTAAATTAAGAGCTGTTTGAGGCCACTTCATTTGTCCATACCTAATTCAAAAAATAATGTTTAAACATAAATTTACTTTGCATGAAGTGGAATTTTTCCTATATTCAGCACATACTATTTTACAAATTTTAAATAAAAGTATTCAATTATAATAAAACATAAAAAAATATTTATCAATTAATAAAACAATAAAAATAATTCTAAAAATACTGTTTTAATATATATATATTGTTCATAACACTTTACCCATAAAATAGTCCATGGACGAATTCCCCTTCATAATATGTCCCATCTTCCCAACTCATTTTTCCTCTAAATTGATAATATTTTGAAATAAAATATATAATAAAGAACTTGAACAATCTATTAATTTAAATTTAATAACTTATAAATAAAATAATTATAATGAAAAGCAGTAAAAAAAATTAATAAAAGACGTTTTAAATTTTATCTTAATTAAAAATTACTTTACAATTATTTTTAGAATTACCTACATTTAAAATCAGGTGTATAAAATGTACCTGCCATGAGGGTAACCTTTTAACCACATTCCTTTATAATGAGCATGTTTATACTTTAAATGATTTACATAAACATATGTTGCTTCACGTGCAGCTGCTGCTGTCAATAAACCTGATTGACTATTTACTGCATCAACATCCAAACTAAAAAAAATCTCATATTATAAAATAAATAGATAAGTATATAAGAGAAATGTTCATTACGGATGAATAAGTTTTAAATTACAAGATTTAAAATTCTTATTGAACTGAAAAAAAACTTTTAGTGGTAGAACAGCGTGGCTCACAATTAAGAGGTTAGGGTTTTAAATCCATCCTATGCCTCAGAAAGTACAGTGCTCAATCCATTTTCTGCAGTTTAAAAAGTGGTTTAAAATCGTGTCTTAGAGTTTGAGAGTTGCAAATAAATTAAAAAAAAAAAGTCTTCTTATTAACTGCTGCGGTCCCCTCTTATTAACTGCTGTGGACCCCTCTTATTAACTCTTGTGGTCCCCTATATGGATTTGAGAGTTGATTTGATAATAATAATAATAATAATAATAATAATAATAATAATAATAATAATAATAATAATAAAAACAAAATAATCACCTATGTGAAGAACATGCTGAAAGACAAGAAGCAATAGCTTGATTAAGATCCTTTAACCAAGAAATCTAAAAAAAAAAAAAATAATTTAGACTTTTTAAAATCAGAACTAAAATATAAAATTAAATTTTAGACTAGTTGTCAACAACAAACAAGATTGTGCTACATAAAAACAAAAGTATACAACTCAATAAAACATAGATAAAGAAAAACCAATATTATAGTCTTCATAATATACGTCACAATCTACAAACTTGATAATTAATTCAAACAGATTTTATTCCTAATCTCTTTTGACATGATGCCATTGATTTTTTTGTTTGTTTAAATTTTTAAAAGAAAATATAAGAAAATAATATTTAGATACGTAATTTATGAAAATGATATGTAATTTGTGTAAAAGTAAAACTAGATAAATGTAAAAATTATATTTATATAATACATACAAATGTCTGTAAATGCAAACGCCTACAAGTTGAGTTCGCAGATTGCATAAGTATTGTGTATGCAATATGTATTATCATGTATAAGATTACAAAATTTAAAATAAGGGCAAATTAAGCGATCACGAATCGCAAATTGCTATGTGCCAAAGCCATTTTTCATCTTGTTTTCCTGGTTCATATAATTTGCAATCTTTCAAGTTGTCTTTCAAGTTGTTTTTTAAGTTGATCTTGCTTTATAAAATTAGTCTTTCCTCTTTTCAGCAAATTCCAACTCTAATAGTCATTCCTTGCAGCTTTGTTGAAAGTGAAGATGTTAAAATAAAAAAAATTTAGTGAAAGTATATTTTTTGAAGCAACTGCAATTGCTAATTTTTATATTTCTGGGTAAAAGTTTTTGTGAAAAAAGGTTTTATCAAGTTTAAAAAGGTTTTAATGATTTTGATACAAAATAACCTGGTCAGACAAATATTACTTTTGGTTATTTGTCCATCAGGTCGATCAAAGCTAATGTTAAAATTAATGCGTGTACTGTTCAGACCATGAGTATCACCAAGAAATGCCTGTCTTTGTTTACTTATATACGCTTTTGAAGTTTGCTTACTTCTATAAGCTTTTGAAGTTTGCTTACTTCAATCGCGTTTGAAGTTTGTATTGATTAAAGTAGTTACAAGCTTTTATTTTTATTTTTTTTAAATATCAGCATATAACAATAAATATTTTTATCCTGTAATTGTATTAACAGTATTAACATCTGTTTTATACGAATTTTAAATTTAAAATTAAACATAATAGTTGGCAGAGTCTTATAAATGAACTTTTTTTGTTGCAGTAAATTTGTTGCTTTTTTGACAAAGATTTTTGTAATCTGGTAAATTTGAGTTAATTGGGCCCTTAAAACCTTTACTTACAATGACATGTCTTTTTTGCTTACATTGTTTTGTGCTTTAAAAAATCAGCAAGATTAAAATAAAAAACATTTTCAATCAAGCAGAAAATTTGAACCATTAGAAATTTCCTTTTTTGCACAGAGAACAGCGCATTAAACTGCTAACCTACTACAATGCAAATAAATATGAAAAAAAATAAAAAATTTTATAAGCTTTTTACGACAGTATTTGTTAATTTAATCAAAGTTAATTTAAATTTAAAAACTTTCATAAAACAGAAAAATAAATGTTATGATCTAATTACATTTTGTTGTTGTCAAAAGTTGTTTTGTTGATAGATTAATGATAGGAAATAATTGGAACAAAATTTAAAATGGGATTTTTTGGAAACTTTTATCCTGCTGTTAAAACTGATTTTAAAAAGTATCTTCATAAAAGTCATAAAGTCTAAAATTTTAATAAAATATAACATTATAACTTGACTTTCATTGTAGAAAGTCAAGATAAAATATCCTTAATTTTATACTTTAAATTAGAAATTTATAATTTTGCTAAAAGTTAATTACATTAAAAGTTATTACATTTCTTTATGAAGATTTTATATTATGTTTGTTTGTAGAATATTATTTCAGTAAAATGTTTTTTTTCACTTTTATTTTTTCCCTTTTTAATAGCAACAACATCAAATAAAAGTATTATGAAACTATAAAAAAAAAAAAAAAACTGCCAATAATCAACCCTTGCCATTTATCCCTTCACATTTATGTCCTTAATAGAAAATTACTAACAAAGTGGTTTTTTGCTTCTTATCGAAGAATGAATGTATTACTGAATGCGTTATTTTCTTATTGTAGAATGAATGTATTACTGAATGTATGAATATATTATTTTCTTATCGTAGAATGTATTAACATTACTATTAACAACAAGGTATAAATTTGTAAATCAAAATTTGAACTTCTTTTTTACCAAAGAATGTTCAATGAGAGGTTGAATGTTTAATGAGAGGTTGAATGTTTGATGAGAGGTTGAATGTTTAAGAATAGTTTGAATGGTTTCAGAAAGCTTAATTGGTTGTAGAAATGTATAATTGGTTAAAGAAAAAAATTAATGGTTTTATTAGGAGGGTTTGTCTAGTCCATTAAAAAAAAAAAAAATTTAATAAAATATTTTATTAAAAATAAACAAATAATAAATTTTACCTTTCCATCAGGAGTTCCTGCTGACAAAACAAATGACTCTTCAGGTGATGTTATTTGAATTCCATTTCTTTAAGAAAATAAACGTTGACTGAATCATTTCATGATGGAATTAAAATAATTTTGCTAACTTTTTGAAAAAACATACTGTACTTGATTAGAGTCTGGAACTGAATCAGCCCACAGTGTAATCAGCGGAAAAACTTGAAAGCTTCTGTTAAACTGTAATAAATAGACAGAAATTTTAATAATGTAAAGTATTTACAACAGTATTAAAATATTCTCTATTAATAATCAATCTTTTTTTTGTGCCTAATTACTGTGAAACAAAGATACATATAATTACTGTGAAACAAAGATACATATAGAGATTTTTGCATTTTGAATTATTATTTTTTTATACACAACTTCAACAAAAAAAAACACAATAAAACATAAAAAATTTCCATTATAACTTATTAAAAATTACAACAATTAAAAAGTAAAAAAAAAATATAAAGCAAAAAACAGCTCAAATAAAATTAGTTAAACTTTTATAAATACAAAAAAAATTAAAAGTAAAAGTGTTAAATGCTAATATCACCATAAAAATGTTATTTGCAATTTAGCAACTTATGCAACTTAGAAATTTTTTTTTTTATTTTTTTTTATTTTAATTCACCTCCTCAAGGCCGAGAAGGCCACTACAGACGAGGAGGCTACTTATTTGTGGTTATAACCCTCTCTCAACTCTATAACTCCGAAACACGAACCTTGACGAGCAAGGCCGCTGCGCGGAGAAACGAGTTGAGTGCGGTGCTACCAGGGACGTGGTGGGGATCGAACTCGGAACCACTCGTTTATGAAGCGAGCGCTCTACCACTACACCACTACCGCATAAATATATAATACATCATACTATCTTATCTAAATGCTGACTTTTTTATGTAACAAAAATTCAAATTAAAAGCAAAATTTTTACAAAGATTTCTTTTTTATAAATAAGAGATTATAATAGTAAAAATGAGTAACAAACCTCCTTAAATATTTTATTAACGCTACAGAAAAAAGGGTATAAAACAAAAGCTTTCTAACTCTAAGATGATAATGATGATGATGATGATGATGATGATAATGATGATGATGACAACAATAATGATCATGATCATGACAATAATGATGATAACCATGATGATGAATATGTTGAAAATGACACCAATAATGATAATGATAATTATATTAATGATAATGATTATTTTAATGACAATCATGAAGACACTAATAATAATAATGATGAGTTATTATTACTTTAAAACAATAATACCTGCACATGTACAAAAAAAAATACCTGAACATGTACAAAAACATCATTGCAAAGTATGTATGAGTGACTTGATAACCTGGAAGCTCGTGAGAGAGACAATGGGTCATCTTTACTTGACTTCAAAACTCGTCGTTTTGGATCTCGTAAAACTTCCTTTGAAAATTAAAACAGTTTTTTACTTACCATTAAAGTTTGAATAAAAGTAAAGTATGAGTAAAGCAAGTCATCACAATCACAATTATTTTGTTAAATTAAAACGTTTAATAAAATTTGTTAATTATTAAATTAAAAATGTTAAATCAATGTTGCTTCTTGTTAAGAAACTTATAGTATTACTATAAGTATATATAATCTGCTACTCTCATTCTCTCTCTCATTCTATCTATCTCTGTCATTCTCTCTCTATATATATGTATATATATATATATATATATATGTATGTATATATATATGTATATATGTATGTATATATATATATGTATGTATATATATATATATATATATATATATATATATATATATATATATACTATTTTTACTATTAGTATAATTAAAAATTATTGTAACTTTCATTAGTTATTCTTACAAAGTAAGAAAGATTTTGGTTTAAGAAAGGTTTGTCACATAAATATAAACTATGTGTCAACATAAAGTTTTACTGTAAGTTTTTTGTGAAATTCATCCCAATACTTTCTTGTGACATTTGCAGAAATCATGCGCTTTGTATTTTTTTCTGAAAACGATAACCAACGTAGGTAAACCTCTTGTAAATGATCATATTCTGAGGAAGTCTATAAAAAATTTTTATAAGATTTAAATAATTAAGAAATTAACAAAAATTTATAAAAAAAAAAGAAAAAATTTAAATGAAAAGGTGTAATTATTTGAATAGCTTAACTCTTAGAAAAAAATAAAATAATAATATCTTTAAAATAAAAAAATAGTTAAAACTTTTTGATAAACATAATTTCAAAATTAAAAAAAATACCTACTTTAAAAAATGAAGCTACTTGCTTTGCGATATCAGAAAAAACATGACATCTCATTAGAGGAGCTTTTAACAAATTCTCAAAAGATGCAGGTGACTAAAGAAAATAAACATATTAAAAATAAAGAAAAAAAATAAAAAAACTACAAAATTCAATAGTATTCAAATTGAATGTCAAAAATTGCAAAACTCATATGTTAATTATCTTATAAAATAATCACAACACTAATTGACAAAATCATTGTCATCACATAAAAACATTTCTCTCAAAACTATGAAATTGAAAATGTAATTGAAACATTTCATAAAAGAACTTTATTATAATATTCTTTAAGTTTATTATGAATAATTTTATTGTAGCAACAGATTACCTAGAATAAAGGACTTGGTGTAGTGATATGACAGCTTGGTCCTGGTTTCACAATAGTTTTTTCAAAGCCTAACACCCAGCAAATCTATCATATTCGAAGAAACTGGGAAAACTGCTAGAACAATCCAAGCCGGGTACCTGGCACATATATATTCCGAATACCCAAGAAAACTACCAGAATGAAAAGATAACAAGTACCTGGCTCTAACCGGGTACCTGGCAGTTTTTCCTGAGTATCCAGATTATCAAAGTGTTGGGTATCCGTTGCCCTGCTTGGACCAGGAATAACTGCCAGAAAACCATAACTGAGCTGAATACCTGGCACATCTCTAGTGCGAAGTAACAAATTAATATTTAAACTTTTATTAAAGCAACAAAAGGCTTACAATGAAGAATTGTTTTAACTTTCAAATAAAATAATTTCATAAAATAAAAGTACTTTTTTGTTCACAGATTTTTCAAAACAGCTTTTCTGTATTTTATAACATACTTGCACTAAAATGCTGTTTTATTTTTATGCTCTCAGCAACATTAACTTATAAAATAAATTAGTAAGTTCAACGTCATTCAAAAATCCAGATCAAAAAAGCTGAAAATAATTACCAATTTGAAATATAAACCATACTAATTTTTTGAAATATAAATGGTAAAAATCAGTGTAAAAACATCATCATCATCATCATCATCATCATCATCATCATCATCATCATCATCATCATCATCATCGTCATCATCATCATCATCATCTAGAGCCCTGCGAAGTTTCAAAACTTTGAATCGAATTGAATCAAAAAAAAGATTCGAGATGCGATTCGAAAATTTTCAAAAATCGAATCCTTACTTTTTTTTTTTTTGTTGTGGATATTTTAGATATTCTGCGCTTTGGCGCTATCGAAATAACGTTACTTATCCTTAAATACCTTTTTATTCAGTCATTAAACAGGTTAACCAGGGCAAGAAGTATCAATAAAGAGATTATACCACTTTTTTATTTTATTTTATTTTGAAATATGTATTATTAAATAAAAAATGACTAAATTTAGACTTTAAAATGTCGATTCAAAACGTGACTGGAATCGCGAATCAAGATTCGATTCGAAACAAAAACTGCCACTTTGCAGGGCCCTATCATCATCATCATCATCATCATCATCATCATCATCATCATCATCATCATCATCATCATCATCATCATCATCACCACCACCACCACCACCACCACCAACACCATCATTATCTAGCCAGATGATAACATCATCTATTAAAGTTGAACAAAACGTTATAAAACTGATGGAAAAAGTTGGCGGTTGATGGGAAAGGCAATTAAATGGATAAACTGATGCATGGAGATGAAGCATTTAAATAAATGATGTAATTGATTAATACGATTAACTACAAAGATATAGTGATAAAGTAAAAAATATCAGCCTTGACAATTTTTAGAATAAAAGAACTCATCGCCAGTTGTGTATTTTTTTGGCTAGCATGCAAATATTCACATGTAAACCATTAGTCATTTTAATATGTTGCATTTTTGTTGCAACATTTTGGACACTTCTTGGATTTTCTTTACATTTAGTCTAACATCATAGTATATTAAAACATTCATATTCAGGTTTGATAACTCCAGGAATTTTTAAATTGGTAGAGTTAACACAATAAACTTTCGATCATGTCAACTCCATTGGTCTTTTAATAAATTTTTTAATGCTGTTTTCTTGAAGCTGTTTTTCTATGGCAGTTCAAATTTGATTAACATGTGCCTTCAGATTTGATTGAGAATGGCATGTGTGGATAAATTACTTTGGTATTGGTTTGGTAAATTAACCTAGTTTAGTTAGAGTTGGCATTATGGAATTTGTGAACAGATTGAACAGAAGTGTTACAAGTGAATAGAACATTTGTGTACTAAAGTGTGAACAGTTGTAAATAGATAGAAGAGAAGTATAAACATCTGTGAACAGATTGAGCGGTTGAAATATTTCAGCAAACTGCAATTTTGATTTGTAAACTTTATCAATGTAAAGTTTACAAAACAAAATCAATGTCACAATAATTTGAAGACATGGAATATTTAAAAATTAAAGAGCTTGGCTTGAATCTAAACAAAGGTATTTTTAGATAAACTGTTGCATAGTGAGCAGTTTATCTAAACAACTTAACTAATTTTGTGCTTTATTTATATAACAAGAATGTTGGATAGTTGATAAAAAAACAAAAAAGTTGGATGGTAAAAAAACTGATTATTTAAATTAATATTTAACTAACTGGTAATACTGCTGACATAAGCGTACTGTTGACATAAGGGTACTGCCGACATAAGCATACTGCTGATAAAAAGCGTTTTGGGATATAGTAGATATAATAGATAGAATCAGTGCTACTTGTCATTCTGACCAAGAATGACAAGTAGCAGTGATTCTATCTATTGAATTGCTAGAAAAAATCTTAAACACTTAGCGAAACAGATTACACAAAAAATAAAACTTAAAAAAAATCAAATATCAAGACAAACAGTTAATAAAAAACCATAAACTGTGGTGCAATGCCAGAAAACCATTATAAAAAGATGTAAACTTTGTAAAGCAATTTTAAAAACTTAATATGAAGTAAGAAGTACTGTTTTTAGTGATGAATCTAACTACACCAACTGTCTTAATTAGATAATAGTCTTTTAGCTTAAATTTTTCATAACTATAGTTTAGTGAGTTTAAAATAGTAAAAAAATTATTGTTTTTGTAAAACTTTTGGAACTGACTATAACTTATAAAATACATGTTCATACTTATACCTACATATACAATACACTTAAATGTCTCAATCTGTATCATGCTTATACTATAAGTATATGTATATGAATAAACATTTGTATAAACATATAAAGGTATTTGAAGTATATGCATGCATTCAGAAAACTGTAAGTTTTTTCTAATAACACATACATGATATAGTCAAGTTCTATTTAACTTGTATCATGACATAAGTAACTTAATATTTTAAGTTACTTATGTCATGTTACAAGTTAAATAGAACTTGACTCATTTATAGATAGAGCATCGCATCCTAAGCAATGAGCAATGCAGTTGTCTCAGTCCTGCTAATTAACACAAACTTGTAACTAAAAGTTCTTTATGTGATTACTAAAATGAACACCATCTCTAGCCTTTACTTAATCAAGAGCCCCAAATGATGGCTATTTTAATTCAGAGTTTATTTCTCCCAGCTTTTGCCTAAAAAAGTAAACCCTACAAAGTAGCAGGACATAAGTCAATTAGTACTGGATTACATGTTACCAGTAGCAGGATGATCACAATAATCCTGAACCTGACTTGACCTGGAGTAGTTAAAAAACGTTATTAGTCTAAGCACTACTTGAAAATTATTAGTAAGCTAACACAGTTATTAAGACTATTTCTTCTATATAACAAACAAAAATAGATACCACTATAGAGATGACAGACATTTGATAGTATTGTTAACAGTAAGTTGATATTTTCTAACATTTGATTGGAATGGAAATCAAGGCAGCAGGACATGATGCAACAGGTTGTACTAGATTACATATTATCAGTAGCAGGTTTATGGTTCTTTAATATAAAATTTTTGATTCTCTTTGAACTCTAGCAGAGTTTTTTTTTCTACGATTTTTTTTTTTGAACAAGTGGTTTCTATTATCTCCTAATAAGAGTTTCCCATACTCTTATTTTTATTAATGTTTCCCATACTCTTATTTCTCGTTTTTACTCATAGCTCTTATTTTATCTTTATTTTAGGTTTATTTTATCAACAGTTGTAAAGTATTAGGGTACTATCAGTGCCATGTGGCACATGGATGGTGTCCCTGTTCATACTTTTGGTGTGCATTGTCGAAGTCACAGCCCATTGTTACAACTTATAACCATCAAATTAAAAACATGAAGTTTGTATATTTTCGCCCGTTTTATATTACTAATATTTAACAAAAATACGGACAAATTATTATTAAATAACGCAATAATTAACACATTAATTAATGGCAATAATTCAAGATAGATGGTAATTTAAATTGTCAAAATGTCATAACGCGCGTTAAAACATTTCTTTGACTATTAAATACTGCACTGAGTACTATCTGTGCTTCGAGTTCTTTAAAGGGATCCCAAACTCCCAACACATGTTGTGTTCATATTAAAGATAATGTTAAAAAAAAGGTTTGAACCAAGTTTTTTTGATTAAAAATAAATAATGAATGCATATTGAGAAAAACTAATGTTGTTGTTTTAGCTGAAGCTCGTCTTCTCCATTTTATTCAATAACTCGCAGTCTTCAAATTATACATCGCAATCTACAGACTTTGGTGATTCCTTTGAAGCGCGTTTAATTCATAAATACTTTAGTATTTGACATCACGATAGACTTTTAACAAATGAAAAGTGTAGTTACACAAAGCTGCATTTTTGTACTTTAATTCAAAAAGTATGATGTAGTATTTTTTTAACATACAGCAAAACAAATTTATTTTTATTATTTTTCCAAACATGGCAAAAAAATTTCTGTAAAAAGTAAAAACAATAAATTATTTTTATTTTATAGGAGCAACTTATTTTTTACAGATATCTTAATTTTTAGATTTATATATCTTACCTATATTTCTTATGTTTTTAAATTAAAACAAATATTAAAGCTTTATTAACAATCTTATGATTTTCATACGATTATTTTACATTATATAGAACGTTTTATATACAGTCTCTCATTTTTGTGCAAGAGAGAGCAGTATTAATTTTTTGTTTTCCTGTCGAAAAAAAGTATTTATTAACAATAACTTTCATAAACTGACTTTATTATTTAGAGATATTTGATAAATTGTTAACTTTTTTTATTATAAAAATTTTTTGATTATGCTAATTTAATTTAAATTGCTAAATTTAAATTGCTTAATTTAAATTGCTGAATTGGATACGGATAAAAAGGAAATATCATTTTATTTTACATTTGATTTTTGATAATGAAACTTACAAAATGTCGGCAACTCCATACCAATTAGAACCTGTTAAGGTTATGAAAAAAAAAGTACAAGAATACATTACAGTTGACAGTAGTATACAGTTGACAACACTATCAGATATGAAAATTTGTGAAAGGATATGTGAGATCCTGGTTTTGCATTAAAAGTACAATTAATAGCAACTCAAGTCAGCATTATAAATTTTGATTATAAGTTTACTGTTCAATAAATTATAACCATCAAATTAAAAACATGAAGTTTGTATATTTTCGCCCGTTTTATATTACTAATATTTAACAAAAATACGGACAAATTATTATTAAATAACGCAATAATTAACACATTAATTAATGGCAATAATTCAAGATAGATGGTAATTTAAATTGTCAAAATGTCATAACGCGCGTTAAAACACATTTTATATTTGTTATTTCCCGATTTGTGTTGTATTTGTCTCTTAACATGAAAAATAAAAAAAAATTTTAAAAACACAATTAACAAATACAAATTTTCAAGCAATTTTCTCTTCCAATTCTCATTTATTCAAAGAAAAGTTACTATTAAACTTTTATTTCTTTTATCTATAAAAAGAATGAGTGACGCAAAAAAATATATATATTTTATACAACTCTCATTCATTCAAAGTTTAATTACGTGAAACTTTTCTTTCTCTTTTGTTTTACCCTTTTATAAAAATTTTTTATCAGAGTCTTGATTGAGATAATAAACATTCATAATTTATAAACATTAAATAAATGGCGCAATAACAATTTATAGCAACAAACCAGCATAAAATATTTGAGGTTTTTAATATCTTTTTAAATGTTAAAAATAGAAAGAAAAAAAAGCTAAACAAATAATCAAAAAAAAATTAAAAATAAATAAAAATAATTAAGAGCTTCATTTGTTAAAAGTCTACCATGACGTCAAATATTAAAACTTTTATGAATTAAACGCACTTCAAAGGAATTGCCGAAGTCTATAGATTGCGAAGTATAATTTGAAGACTCAGAGTTATTGAATAAAATGGAGAAGGCAAGCTTCGGCTAAAACAACAACATTAGTTTTTCTTGGTATGCATTCATTATTTATTTTTAATCAAAAAAACTTGGTTCAAACCTTTTTTTTTTAACATTATCTTTAATATGAACATAGCATGTGTTAGGAGTTTGGGATCCCTTTAACAAATCCAAAAAAAAAAAGTACAAAAGACCAAAAACTATAAAACACAAAAAAGATTTGTCATCACCAAGTTCTCTAATTCTATCATTCACTAATATTCGTGGTCTTCAAAATAACTTTTCTTCTGTTGAGTCTTATCTCTTGCAAAGTTCATCAGAACTACTTGTTCTTTGTGAGACTAATTTAAGTCTTAACTTGTGATCTTAGTGTTGATGGTTATCTTCTTTTAGTTCTCAACCTTAAAAGACTCCGATAGTCACATGCTTGGCCTGGGTATTTACATTCATAAGAATTTCTTTTATGTGCTTTTGTTCAACACCACTTCACTCTATCACCACTATATTGACCACTAGGACATATCTGCCAATGTAAAAATAATTTATATAAAAATGTATTAGACAAATAAATATTATTAAATAAATAAATAAATATAGGTAATATAGTAATAAAAATATAATAATATGAAAAATAAATAAAATAATAGGTAAATACTTAAAAAAAAAACTTTATTAACCTGACAAGTTGTTTGGCCAGCAGTGCTATAAGTACCTTGAATACATTTCTGAGGTGAATCTTCAGGATATAAACAGTGAAAACCAGAAGGGCAAACAATGCATCTAACAGCACCTTGATAATCTGAATATGTTCCATTTGGACACGGTATTGGTGGAAGAGTAAAACTTTGTTTGATATTGCTCTGCTTTATCTCAAGACTTTTTTTGATGTTCCTTCTAATCAAATTGATCAACACCTTTCTCTTTATCCTTCAACCAATATTGTTGAGGTTGGTGAATTTAATGGTTATTCCACTGAATGATTAGACTCTAGCAACAGTCTGCAGGCATTTTGACCCATAACTTTTGCCTACTTCAACCTCTAACACAAATAGTCAACTTTCCAACTTAGGTGCTTCTGATCACTTATTGATCTCTCTAAAACTATTATCTCATTCTTCTTCATCATCAGAATCCCCTTATCATCATACCTCTTAAAAATACCTTAAAGCTGACTGGGACTATTTCCGTGATTTTCTTTGTGATGGCCCTTGGGTAGAAATCTTTCGTTTTCCTGCTGACAAACGTGATTCTTATGTAACTTCTTGGATTCTGGCTGGCATGGAATCTTTTATTTTCTCTAGTTAATTCCAAGACAAGCCTTACTCTTATCCATAGTTTTCCTCTCATTTTTCTCTCTGTGCTGCAGCCGATCATAACCATTACTTCTATATCTATCGCCAAAACAATTCTCCAGAAAAAGACATCTGTTTACTATTGCTAGAAACCATTTTAAAAAGGGCTTGCTTAACACTTAAGCCTGCAATTCTTAGGTCATGATCATCTCATATTTCAACTCAAAAATTAGGCTCCTTAGACTTCAGTAGAATCTTTAACAATGTCAATAATAAGGGCAAATCTCTTATTCCAACTCTCTTGCATGTTTTAGATTACCTCACTGCAAGACAAAACTGAATTGCTTCCTTTTCATCAGAACTCTTCATTAATCTCATCTCTTGAATTCTCTAATCACATTCTACCTGATATAGCAGAAAAAAAGTTTGATCCATTGCTTAAGCTTTTGTATCAAAAGTGATCTACTGCTTAGACTCTTCTAAAGCTTGGCATGCTGATCTTTTCCATAAGCTCATTTCTTACGGTGTATCAGGTAACATCTTTAAGATAGGTGCAGTGCAGATAGATAAAATTGTTAATTCTTTTACTTTCTTAAGTAAATGAGTTATTGAAAAGTAACTAAATATTTACAACAATTATAATACTGCTTTTAACTAACAAGATTGCCAATACATTGCAGATAAGTCGAAAATAAGTAAGGAAATAATTGGGAAAATCAAAAAAATCTTATCTAATTTATTATAAAAAATTAAATAAGACTTTCGAAAAATTGTATAAGTAGCTTGAATGTTATAAATTTCGAATAATATCATTTCTAGCAAAATAAATGAGTTGTAACTAAATGAGTTTATATATATATATATATATATATATATATATATTTTATATATATATATATATATATTTATAGATTCTTAAGTTATATATATATATATATATATATATATATATATATATATATATATATATATATATATATATATATATATATATATATATATATATATATATATATAACTTAAGAATCCCTTAAAAAATATAAAGAAACCAATAAAAGTAACCTACCAATGCTAAATTTTTTTCTAAATCTTTTGCAATAGATTTATTTTTAGATATAATTGAG